TTGTCAGAACATAGTAGGGCCTTTGCGTTTTGTGTTCGTGTTGATTACGCGCTTCTTTCACCCTTATTAGAACCCATTTCTGGCCAAATTTTGAGTTTGGTTTTGAAGTCAAGTTGTGATTTTCATGGGTCGTCTTTGGAGTTTATCGTTCATGGCGTTGTGCCCGACGAAACCCCGAAGTATTGTCAGATTCGGAGCCGTTTCGTTTTGATGGCTTTTGAGATTTTCATCTCAAATTGAGGTAGGGGGTGTCTTAGGTTTATATTATTGTTGTATTGATTATTTTATAAGCATATACAACTTGTGAGCATGCATTGTTCAAGTTTTAAGAATTTAATTTAATTATTTTCTTTGTTTAAGATTTAATTCTCATGATGCTAGGCAACTTAGAATTAAATTGTGGCATGCTAGAAATTTAGGCCTTGGTATGATGGTTGATATATATTAAATTGGGGTTATTTGAATAAGAATTGCAAATTTTATTTAATATTTATCTTTTGTAAAAGTTTAATTCACCTAGTTGTATCAAGCATGGAATCAACTTGTAATGTGATATTAAAGTAGGCGTTGGTGAGTTCTTTAACATATATTAAATTGAGGACATTTAGATATGTTTGAAAATCTAAAGAAAAATTAATTAATGAGCTTAATTAATTTTATTTTAGTGTGTTGGTCACTTAAATTGATATTGGAGGTAATAGGTTGATAATCCCTTGAAATGTGGTCTGTTTAATCACCTTGTGAGCATGTTACTAATTTGATGTAGAATTAGTACTTGAGACATCTTGAAATGGTAATTGGACTTAGCATGATATAGAATATCGTTGACTTGCATAGCTTGTTTAGATATATCCTATGTAGGTGTATAGCTTATTAGAATATTACAATTATTTACCTTGGAAGCTAGTTACTAAATTGGGACTTATTTAGTACTTGTGGCTTAGTGTAGTAATGTGGTTCAATTGTTGTAAAATATTATTGTTTTGGTGTATAAATTGCATATTGGAGACTTGACATGTCATATGCTATCTAGACTTGAATTCTAGGACATGATTTGTGTAGATTCAATCTTATTTATGCATAGAAGATGGCTTTATGCAATATTGTATTATGGTTTGATTGTTTTGACTCTGGGTTTATTTTAATAGATTATGTTTTCTTGATTATATGACTATGAGCACTTGAGACAACTCAAGTAGTTTTTCATGCTTTAGTAGAATATAAATTGTTATTACCTTGTCTTAGATATAATAATTTATGTTCTATTCTCAACCTACCTTGTTGTACGGTATCTGGCAGAGCCCTACCAGACACAAGGATAGAGGTCATATAATAGTGTTCCAATGAATTTTACAAACGAACGTTTTCATAATCTATGCTTAAGAAAGGTGGTTCATTCACACAGTAGTTATAATAGGTAGAGTAGGTAGGGGAATAGTCCACGCTAACCGCAGATAGGTTATAGTTAGCTAAATTTGTAAAACATCTTTCTTTAAACTCCGAACTGAACGAATGTTATTGAGTTCAGTTCATTTGAAAACAGAATTGGTTAAAATCCCAGAGTTGATTCAATTGACCGTAGTATAATGATTGTGGTGAAATCAAAGCCCTAAGACTTTTCCTCTCTGATCTTCATTTAATTCAGTTTAATTTGTTTTAGTTGATTATTTTATAGTTTAAGTTTGTTAAATTGTGACAACCAACAAACTTCCCCATTGAGTTACTTGTAAACCATAGAACAAATTTGAAAACTAAACTACAAATCTGTTCTCCCTGTGGGTTCAACATCCTCTTTGCATAGAGCTATATCCTACACGATATCGTACGATTGTGAGAGACACATCAATTTTTAGCGCCGTTATCGGGGAGATTGTTTTTGTTTAGTTTCTAATTAGTTATTTTGGTTTATTAGTCTTCGGACTTTCTGATATCTCATCTTAATTCTTTTTCTTTTTCAAGTACAAATTGGGGGTGAGGACGAAGACGTTTAAGGGAGAGAAAAGCTTCGGTTTATTAAACCTTTTGTGAGTTCTTATTGTTTTTCTGTTATTTGGAATATTTTCTTTTTGCTACTGTTAGGATTAGTGGAACCAGTGCATGTTAACTCGCCAAACTAGGTCAAAACCTTTAATGCATGATCCTGAAATAGAGAGAATTTTAAGTCAATTAAGAAAGCTTATGTCACGCCCCTGGACCGTAGTTTGGATTGTGAACACAACATGTAAACAATCACAGTCTCAAAATCAAAACAAAAAAAAAAACATATCCCTATAACCTATCTCAACCACACATCCACCTATCTATTTCCCTTTACAAAAACAAGACTGAAAATTAATAGATAAGATGCAAATATTACAACATTAAAGTTTTAAAGTTCGAAATAATATTTATTACATGAGAGAAATATTCTAAAGAAATATAATACAAAACATAGACTATTATACGGAATATAACACAACAACACCAACCCCGACTCTGTCTACAGCTAAGGAGGAACACCCTCCGCACCATCCATGCTATGACCTAAAAAGATGTGAATAAAATAGGAATGAGCAACCACAGCTCAGCAGGAATTGCCTAAAGCATACTCCTTAATACCTCCGTGAATCCAAACAAAGAACGGATAAAAGAAAAATGGGTCATACAGTCTCGAGAAAGCAACATATCATATGAGATAATAAAATGAAGTGTCATGCAATGCCAATGCCAATGCTAATGTCACTGACACATCTCACTTCCCAAAATCCCAATTTCATCACAAAAAGTTAATGTAATCCGCCCAGGGCTGCTCCTCAGTACAACGAGAAGAGAGTTAGTCATCTATCCCTGATACAAGGCCACTCCTTGTGATCATTTGGGGCTCTAGTGACACAATTACGCGTAGAGCCACTCCCTACGTCTTCTCTAGATTCCCATTAACTGCACAGACGAGGCAACTCCTTGTCCAGTTTTAAAATTATTGATTCAATTCCCTTTTCTAAACTCACGGATACAAGGCACCTCCCTGTAATCCGGTTTTCAAAACCATTTTAATGAGATGCTCTCACTTCCTTTTCCATTCTAACCTTAACCCCATGACCATGCAAGATGAATGCACAATTGTGTCAAGTCCCAAAGTTTCCAAAACAACAAATCAGTTTATACGCAGCATGTTACTTCCATCTTTGAAAATTCATAACAAATTCAATTCTAAGTCAAATTGAGTGATTCCAAAGCCTAATGAAAGCTTAAACAATGAACTTTGAGAGTGTCATTTTATTTTAACAAAATCCCTTCCCAATTGGAACAGTTTTGATCCACAAATTCGAAATAAAAATCTGCCAGAAACTGATTTCCAGCCTGTAGCTTCCATCTTCAAAAATTCATAGTAAATTCAATTTTCGTCCAAAATGAGTGAATCCAAAGGCCACTGAAATCGCAAAGACTATATTTTCAAGATAAAATTTTATTTCATCAAAATACCTAACCATTTAAAGCAGGTTTGATGAGAAAGACTCGGACAGAAACTGCCCCAACCCAAAATTTCCAGCAAGAACATTCTAATTTCAAAAATTCATAAAAAATTCATTGCTCAACCAATTTAAGTGAAACCAATTCTCAATGAAAGCTAATTTACTATATTATCATAATATCAAATCATCTCTAAAAGATAAGTTACGAATTTACATGATTTTGAGCAAAACAGTAGCATGTAATTAAGTTTCAGCAGCACATAATTTCAGTTTTGTTAGTATACACTTTGCAACTCAAAATTTGAAAGAAATCAACTCACTAAAGGCAAAGGAATTGAGGGTTAGACAATCCTACCTCAAGGGAAGCTTGAACACTTGCTAAAAAATTCAAAGCCACACCAAAAATGGATCAAAATCAACAACTAAAAGGTGAAAAGCACCTTCCTTTAAAAAAAATACAGCTGCACCTCTTCTTTCAACAAACTTTTTGACAGCCCAGAATTAATAAAATGTGCACAACCCTTATACCACAAGGAAGCTCTCTCCCTTAGGAACCTTTTTCATTCACACACCCCTCTCAAAATTAGAGTCTAAAACATAACCCCTCAAGAAGAACAAGAAAATGCAGCCACGTGATTTCTTTTTCAGCAGATGCAATACACACCTTTGTCATTCATATCATATAACAATGCTTAGTGTACACATAGGTGTCAAGCCCACACACATAGTCAAAGGTAAGACTATGTAAAATAACTAATAAGCCCATCAACAATTGCCAAATACCATTCATGCCATGTGCATGATAAAAGTCAAGAATACCCTTTCACAACTAACCAAATGCCAATGATGCTATTTTGCATAATAAAAGTCTACTTTGCCCTTTATAAAATTATCAAATACCATAAATGCCATTTGTAAAACAAAAAGTCCACAACGCCCTTTTATGAAACAAACAAATGACATTTCATTAATTTAGCACACATTTGCAAAATAATCATAATTCCGACAATAAAATAAAATGTATGAATGTCAAAATGACCAGAAAAATGATAAAAATGCAAGTGCTCACAGATTAAAAAACATTTGAATAATATTGATAGATCATCTGATAACATGGCTGAGCAACATAATGCATCGGGTAAAAATGGTAATGGTAATGGAGAGCGGGTTCCACCTGTCCCTCCACAACAACCACAATTGAGATATCATTTCATTCCTACCACATATACTTCCCCTTCGTGATTTGTTTTTCCGGATGCTGATGCAACCCATTTTGAAATCAAGCCTGCTATGATCCAAATGCTTCCTACCTTCCATGGGTATGCAACAGAGGATCCTTATAAGCACTTGGATGTGTTTTGGAATTGTGTTCAACTACCAAGTTGGCCACTCTATCCAATGATTCATTCAAAATACATCTTTTCCAATTCTCTCTCAAAGATAAAGCAAGAACTTGGTTGCAGTCCCTTCCAACAAATTTCATATCTTCATGGGACTTGTTGCAACAGGAGTTCTTGAAGAAATATTACACTGTGGGTAAAACCACACAAATGAGAAAAGAAATCATGGCATTTTCTCATATCTCAGGAGAACAGTTTCATGATGCATGGGAGAGATATAATGATCATCTAAGGAAGTGTCCACACCATGATATTGCTCAATGGCACTTAAAACAGATCTTCTATGATAGTCTAACAAACTCGTATAGAAACATGGTTGATGCTTCCAGCAATGGAGCTTTTCTGCGTAAGAGTCCGGCTGATGCTTGGGAACTGTTTGAGGCCCTAAGTGAAAACTCAGTGCAACATGCTTGTTCCTCTAGGTCTAGGTCTTCACCTGGAATGCATAAGGTTGAAAAACTTTATGAGGTAGATAAATCTAGTGAGTTAGCCGCTCAAATAGAAGTTTTGAACCGTAGGTTCGATCAAATTCTATCATCTGGCTTTGCTCCTGTTGCTAATCCGCAAACTGCCTTACCAAAGGAAGTTTGTTCCATCTGTGTTAATTCTAACCATTTTGCTGACGCTTGCCCTATGCTGGGACAATCATATGAGATCCCACAGGAGCAAGTGAATGTTGCATTCTCTAGGCCAGCTTATAATCTTTATTCTTCTACATATAATCCTGGCTAAAGAGATCATCCCAATCTGTCATGGCATAATCCAAATCAAGGGAATACTATTCCCAATCTCAGGGGCAGTATCAAAATTCATCCAATCCTATGCAATAAAATAATTCTTTCAACCAATATGGTATTTACCGTCCACCTCAGTTTAGGAATCAATCTACTCAAGCTCCTAATCTTCCACCTTCTCCTAGAAATTCTGCTTTTGAGGAACAAGTACTCAATGCTCTTGGTGAAATTAAAGCCAACATCTAACTTCTTAATTCTCATTCTCAAGCCATAGCAAAGCTAGAGGCACAAGTTGGGCAAATAGCGAGTACTCTATCTCGAAGAGAGGATGGAAAGCTGCCTAGTCAACCAATAGTAACCCCGAAAGGGCAGACTTACATGATTGATAGAACCCATTCCTCAGGTATTCATCATGAGCAAGTTCAGGCTATTACTACATTGAGGAGTGGTCAGAGTGGTTGATAACTAAGTTGAGAAAGGACAGGAGGAAAAAGAAAGGCATAGGATTCCCATTATTCCTATCATTCAAAATCCACATCCCAAGGATGTTTCCTCAAGTGCTATTCCACAATCCACAAAAGGAGTTGAAGATGGAGTCACTTCTTCATCTGTTCCTAACCCTGAGACAGCTTATGAGCCAAAAACGCCTTATCCTGAACGTCTCAAGGAACCCTCCCACTTTGGTAAACAGGGGGAGAAAATTCAAGATATGATGGAGGTATTTAAACAGGTCAAAATCAATCTTCCTCTGCTTGATGCTACAAAGCAAGTTCCAGCCTATTCCAAATTTCTAAAGGACTTGTGCACTTTAAAGAGAAAATCCAGATGCCAAGTTCCTAAGAAAGTTTGTCTCACCAAGCATGCCAGTGCTATTCTTAAGTATAACACTCCTTTAAAGGTTAAAGATCCTGGAGCTCCAATAATTTCTTGCACCATTGGAAAAATGTGATAGAGAAAACACTTCTTGACCTTGGATCAATTGTTAATCCTATTCCTTACTCGATGTATGAGAAGTTAGGTTTGGGAGAATTAAAACCTACGTCGGTTGTTCTACAGCTTGCTGACCATTCTGTCAGACAACCACGAGCTATTGTTGAAGATGTACTCATAAAAGTGGGCAAGTTCTATTTTCCGGTTGATTTTCTAGTTCTTGATACAGAACCGGTCTACGATTCTAAAAAGTATATTCCAGTCATATTGGGCGACCTTTTCTAGCCACAGCAAATGCTTGCAGTAACTGTAGGACTGGAGCCATAGATCTATCTTTTGGAAACATGAAAGTCAAGCTAAACATCTTCAATGCTATTCATTATCCCCACGATGATAGTTAATGCTTCTTCCTTGATGTTATTGATAAGTTGGTTGAGGAATCACTCCCAACTATTTTATCCAAGGATCCTTTAGAAGCGTGTCTGAATCACTTCAATTATGAAGATTTTGATGTCGATGCTTCAATAGCTAAAGTGAATTCTTTGCTAGATTCCACTCCTATCACAGATTTTCCTCCATGGAAGTCTAGGTTAGAGCCACTTCCACCACTTTCTAGTACTCCGCCTAGTCCTTCTTTAGAGTCTCCACCTAAACTTGAGCTTAAGCCACTACCGGAAAAGATCAAGTATGCTTTCTTGGGTTTAAATGACTCCCTCCCAGTGATCATTGCTTCCAATCTTACAAGTTCCTAAGAAAGTAGTCTTTTAAAAGTTCTTGAGCAAAAAAAAGAGGCTATTGGGTGGAGTGTGGCTGATTTGAAATGAATTAGTCCCACAATTTGCATGCATCAGATTCATTTGGAGGAGGATTCTTGAACATCTCGGGAACTCCAATGAAGACTGAATCCTAAAATGAATGAGGTAGTGTTGAAAGAAGTTATGAAGTTGCTAGATACGGGAATAATCTACCCTATCTCAGATAGTAAGTGGGTGAGTCCTACTCAAGTAGTACCTAAAAAGACAAGTATCATAGTAGTTGAGAATTCTGAGGGTGAATTAGTTCCACAGCGCACCACCACTGGATGGCGTGTGTGTATTGACTACTAGAAACTTAACTTCGCTACTAGAAAAGATCATTTTCCACTTTTATTCATTGATCAGAATCTAGAGCTATTATTGCTTTCTAGACGGTTATTCCGGCTATAATCAGGTGGCCATTGATCCTAAGGATTAAGAGAAAACTACCTTCACTTGTCCATTCGGTACGTTTGCATATAAATGCTCCAGCAACATTCTAGAGGTGTATAATGTCTATCTTTTCAAACATGGTTGAAAAGTTTCTCGAGGTCTTCATAGATGACTTCTCTGTTTTTGCATCCACATTCGAAAACTGTCTTCAAAATCTTTCCCCAGTGCTTCAACGTTATAGGGAAACGAATCTTATTCTTAGTTGGGAGAAGAGCCATTTTATGGTCCAAGAGGGTATTGTTTTAGGACATATCATTTTAAAGAGAGGTATTGAAGTTGATAGAGCTAAAGTATATTTGATCTCTAAATTGCCTCCCCCTACCTCCATGAGGGGAGTGTAATCATTTCTTGGGTACGCCGGGTTCTATGGACGCTTTATGAAAGATTTCAGCAAAATTTCCCATCCTTTGTGTAATCTACTTGTAAAGGATACTCCTTTTGTCTTTGATGAATCAGGCCTTGAAGCTTTCCAAAAGCTTCGCTCTCTTCTTTCGTCAGCTCTTATCATGAATCCTCCTGATTGGGCTTTTCCATTTGAGATTATGTGTGACGTATCTGATTATGCTATGGGTGCTGTCTTAGGATAACGAGTGGATAAGCTTCCTCATGTTATCTACTATGCTAACAAAACTCTTTTAGATGCACAGTTGAATTATACCACTACTGGAAAAGAGTTGCTTGCAGTTGTAGTCTATTCTAATCATTCTGCTTTGAAAAATCCTCTTTCAAAAAAGGAAACCAAACCCCGTTTGATTCGATGGATCCTCTTGCTTTAAGAGTTTGATTACGAAATCTGAGATAAGAAAGGATCAGAGAATGTTGTAGTTGACTATTTTTCTAGAATTCTAATTGAGGATACTTCAACTTCATTTCCAGTTTGTGATTCCTTCCCGGATGAACAACTGTTTAAGGTTTCTCATAAGGATTTACCTTGGTTTGCTAATATTATGAATTACCTCACAATAGGCAAAATTCCTTTGGCTTGATTAAAGTAGGAAAAGGATCGATTCTTAAGAAAATGGTTAAGCCAAATCGTAAAGATTGGTCTTATAGACTGAATGATGCTTTGTGGGCTTACCAGACTGCATATAAGACTCTGATTGGTGTGTCACCTTACCGTCTTGTCTATGGTAAAGGGAGCCATCTTCTTGTAGAGTTAGAACACAGAGCTTTCTGGGCTATTAAAAAGCTTAACTTTGATATGACATCTGTTGGTTCTAACAGGAAGTTTCAATTAACTGAGCTTGAAGAATTACGTAATGACGTTTATGAGAGTGCTAAGGTTTACAAAGTAAAGACTAAGGCATTTCATGACAAACATATCTTGCGTACGAATTTTGAGCCTGGGATGAAGGTTTGGTTGTTTAATACACGACTGAAACTTTTTCCTAAGAAGTTAAAGTCACGTTGGGAAGGTCCATACACGGTTATTTCTGTTACACCTTATGGTGCAATAGAAATACAAGATTACAAGACTGGACAACTATCTAAGGTTAATGGACAGAGACTTAAACCCTACATAGAGGGTAGTGTGCAGAGAGGCACAGTTGAGGCAGTGGAATTTCATGATTCTATTTACTTGGACTAAGAGAGGTCAGGTTTTCGTCAAGTTATCGATGTTAAACTTAGCATGTTGTTGAGCTATTGATGTTAAACTTAGCATTTGTATGTTGTACCGTAGTTTATTTTGATTTTTATTTCGTTATTTTAAGTTTTTTTTTATTTCTTTATTTTATTTTCTAGGTTATAGGTTTATTTTAATCTTTATTTTAATTCTAAGTTAGTTTAGGTTTGACTAAAATAGAAAAATTAAATTAAAAAATCCAAAAATCCAAAAATCTAAAAATTTGTCTCTATGCTCGAGCATCAGCAGTGAGATGCTTGAGCATTCATACCTAAAGCTCAAGCTTTCATCATCGTAAGATCTAGAGTTTTCAGCGGCCATGCTCGAGCTTATACCTCTGATGCTCGAGCATGAAGTTCTAAAAAGTTTTAAATCAGGAAACTGAAAACTCCTTCGCCTAGAACAAAAAAGAAAGCCATGGGTCATTCTTTATAAAAGCTCTCTAAGTATTCTTCCTATTCATAATTAGAGCTAATCTACATCCTTGTTTCAAATCTACAAGAAATAAAGGTAATCTTCTTCTTCTTCAAATAGAATTTTCTGAGTTCATTAATTGCCTGGATCTAATGAGGGAGAGTATGAGTTATTCTTTGGATATAAGAGTCTATGACTTTTGTTCATGCATGATCTACGTAGACTATCTGTTTAGATCCACTCTACGTTAATCTTTTGAACTGATTTCTATGATCTGCTTCAGTGAAGTTCAGGGAGAGCTCGAG